ACTTATTCTCTGCACACACCCCTCTCCCCTCCCTGTCATTGTTAGTGAACTTGCTACTGTCATCCTCCATCTACTTGTTCACTGCCCTCAGCTGGGTGCTAACTCAAGAAAATAATCCGAGCCTGATGAATGCTTTGGTGAAACTTGAGAGTGAGACATTATATGATGTATATATTATTCACCATCAAATCCGCACTTCTATGTATGAGGTCTACATTATCAAGACTAGAAAGTTATTTCTTGAGTGGAAGACTGAAATTTCAACTTATATTTTCTCTAAATTTCAGGTCTACTATTATTACCCCTTTTCTGCTGTATCTGATCCTGCAAAGCTCTACAATGACCTTAGATGGAACATCACTAGGCCCCAAGGTTTTGAGGCTGTCATGCGTGTAAGGTGCAGCCAGGTAAATTCTGTTTCGCCTGCTTCATCAGCAAAATAGTTATGTTAAACTCCATTGCATTATTTTGTTGACTTAGTCGCGTTTTAATATATTCCCCTTAAATATTTGTAGGGTATTCAAGTTCAAGATTACTCTGGAAACTTCTGCAAACGCATTCCAACTGACATTGACCTACCAGGGGTTTGTGCTCTTTTGGAAACTACTTGGTCCTGTATTTCTTGTTTGCTTGTGGACCGCAATTAATTTGATTATTTTCGCTTAAAGCATGATTCAAAGTTTTGAACCATAGTTGCTAGCACTGCTTGGTTAACCTCGTGAAAGTATAAGTTTCTTAATGGTGATTATTTCCTACATAATATTTAGCTTTGAACTCATGTTGGATGATCATCTACTTCTAGCTAAAAGAATAAAAGAAAAGAAAAAGGGAAGAAATAGTTGGAATGTATTCTTAAATAAGCATCCTTGCTATAGTGCGGTGAATAATATTTCAGTTGGTAGATTGATTTGTTGAAGAGATTATTTTTGAACTATTAATTACATTTTTCCAGGTGTTGAAATCTAATTAATGAGTCTTTAACTTTATCAAAATGATTGTATATTCTTTGTATAGTTTTTTATTTAATCCAATCTTATAATTGGACTATGAATGAGCTATGGAGACATTGGTGATGTATTGAGTTGAATGTTTAACTTCTTCTGGATGGTTTGCTTCTCAGTTGGTATATGCTGGGATTTGAAATTTTTTCAGGCATGGGTATGGGGCTGACTAGTTTTTCCTTCTTTTGGATAGTTATACCTTCTTAATTGATGTCCACTTTGAGGTGCTCAATTCATAACATATTACTTAAAGAATTTTAAGTGTCTGGTACATTAGTGTTTATTTTAAAATGTTTTGATCTAGGTTTCATATTTAGTATCACAGAACCAATTTCTCAAATAAGATATTCCTTATTCTACATTTGTCCCCTCCCACTTGTGTATTTTTCTGTTTTTCGAACCAGAGTTTTCTAACTTTCCTTCTTATATGTGAAATTTTCTTCAAAGAAGTTTTACAAATTTTACTTCTAGTGGGGCTTGTTGAGATGGTTAACCCTAGCAGATTTTTAGTGTTTTATCTATTATATCAATTTGTTTCAGTCATGACAAATCCTCTTTGATATGCAGATTGACTGTGACAAGTGCATATTGGTAACCTTAAAACATGATGACAAACTACAAGATGGTTCTGAATGTGCTTTTCAGGTACTAACCTAATGGTGTCTGAATTTTTGTTGTCTGTTATTCATCTTACATTATTGGTTAGTATTGACAGGTTAGAGTTTTGATGATTCTATAATATTCTGGCTTTCACTTTCCAGTGTGCCCTGCTCTATACAACTGTTTATGGACAGAGAAGAATTCGAGTAACAAACTTATCCTTGCCATGCACAAATATGCTAAGCAATTTGTTTTGCTCGGCTGATTTGGATACTCAATTTTCGTGTTTCTTAAAGCAAGGTATTTGAGTCAGCATTTTGCTTTTTTGTTTATTTGGTGAATTCATTATGCATGTTAACCTGTTCTATTTATCATTATTTTCCCTCTCATGGCATGTTTGCTCTGTTTTGAACTATGATTTGAAGATAGTTCCTCCTCTCCATTATTTTTTGAATTATGAATTGATCCTTCCAAATGGATGAGGTGTTACTTGGTTAGTTTGCCTGAAGAATTTTGTCCTGTTTTCTTCCTGTTATCATTAATTTAATGTACTAGTATATTGGCCTTTTTGCCTTTTACTAATTTACTTTAAATGCAGCTGCAACTGAAATTCCTAGAAGCCCGCTTGTGCAAGTGAGGGAACAAGTGACAAATTTTGCATCAACATTCTGCTTTCATATCGTAAATTTTGCGCCACAGTGTCATCCTCTGGGCAGCTTATTCTTCCTGAGGCTCTTAAGCTTCTTCCTCTCTACACCCTAGGTATATGTCTGTTTTTTCTAATACCTAGTTTCTTAGACTATTTTGTATCATATCCTCCTCTATTATTATTAAAATCAATTTATAACCCCCCTTCGAACTTCATATTCTCGTCCATTATGGCAAATAGTGTGACAGAAACTCGGTCATCTTCTCAGGAAATAAAAGTGAAATATTGTTTCATCAGTTGATAAGTATTGTTGATAAGTATGTCTTTTTATTTTTTTCAGCATTAACCAAGAGTACAGGGCTACGGAATGATGGCAGAATAGATGACCGTTCCTTCTGGATCAATTATGTTTCCTCCTTTTCTACTCCCTTGGCAATCCCACTGGTCTATCCCAGGATGTTTGCCATCCACAACCTTAATTCAATGGTAACAAATTTCTAGTTAAGTTAGAGTCCAAAGTATTTCAACCATGCTAACAGAATTTTCTGCTTGTTGGATAGGATGGAGATGAATTTGTTCTTCCTCCTATAATCCCACTTTCTAGTGAACATGTCCGTGATGATGGAATATATCTTCTTGAGAATGGCGAGGATGCTTTAATATATTTTGGAAGCTCAGTGGACTCCAGTATCTTGCAACAACTTTTTGGCTTTACCTCAGTTGTTGATATCCCCACCCAGGTATTTATTTTAATCCTTTTTGGATTATGTATGTCTTAAAATCCTCATTGACTTGTTACCTTATAAGAAACAATTTGTGTAGTTACAATAATCACACAAAATGCTGAGTACCTGAAATTGTTTTCCCAGACTAATCAGGCTTTCTGTCTGCTGAAGATAAGCAAACAAAGTATATTTTGTTGCCCTATTTATTTAGAATAAATTAATACTAAATTCAAATGGCCATTATATAATGTGAAATTGACCTCATCTATGTTTTGATTTGGATTTGTTCTTATAGTCCTCATATGATGGGATTATGTCCGCGTGCTTAGTTTCTCTTTACTTCCATAAATAGTGTGAATTTTTAGATTGGATGAAAAAAGTCTTGAAAGGTCTTGTGGTTGATTACACTCAAATCAGTGGCCTTGGATTCAAGTGTTAGGATTTTAGGCTTAGGTTATCACCTGTAATATGTGAGAAAGAAAGCTTGAGAGAGAAAGAATCATGGAAAAGAATGTGAACACTAGTTTGTGGTGCCTATTTTGATACTATGTTTTCTAACTTTTATGTTTGTGTCGTAACCCTTTCAACTACCTAGTAAAGACACTTATTCCGTTTTGTTGATTTTTGTGCGCCCAGTTTGTGTTGCAGCAATATGATAATCCATTATCAAAGAAGTTCAATGATGTAGTAAATGTGATTCGGCGCCAAAGATGTTCCTACCTTCGGTATGATTTATGGTTCCTTCTTGGTATCACTTTTCTCTGGAGAAAAGAAAGGTTATTCTATTTTTTTGTAGAAAATTTGACGTAGATTTCATGCTCTGCATTTTATCTTTATATTGTTTTTCAGCTTGCAGTTGTGCAAGAAGGGGGATCCTTCAGGTTAGTGCATAAAACTTCCCTCATGTAAACTATGATACTGCTTGATAAATTAGGCCATGTGGAATTCCGATACTATACGTAAAATTACATCTCCAAAAGGGATAGTAGTGAACAACATATCTACCCTTGTCACCTTATAAGTTGTCCCATAATCAATAATTTCCTATGAACCTATGAAATTTTTTTACAAAAATAGCCATGGACATACACTCCATTCTGTAATTAGTTTTTTGGTTCACTTTTTGCATAACTAACACTATTTCATATACATGTATCATTTAAAGTTCTCATTTTGTGTATTTGGAGAGGGAAACCAGTTTGTAATGGTCTAAATTTTTTTGGCTCAACAAAGCAAATAGCATCTGGATTACTGCACGTTTCCTTTTATCATAGTAATTACTGTACAATATTGTTATTCGAAATCTCATGGTTCATTTGTTCCATTTTCAGGGATGGCTTTCTTGTCATGCATGGTAGAAGACAAAAATGCAAGTGGTCCCTCCTATGTTGAGTTTCTGGTGCATATCCATCGGCAAATCCAAATAAAAATGTCGTGATAATATCAAGCTCCTCGGTTCAGCTCTGCGGGTATCACATTTGCATTTGGGATTGCATGGTGCACATACCAAAAATATCGTATGACAAGAATCTGTGGTTTTTCCCACTCCAAGTTTCTTGCATATATATATACTGAGCACCAATTGTGGTTGAAAAAACTTATACTAGTTTTTGACGCATTCTTCAGTTCGGTTTCTAAAGTTATGATCATCCAACGTTTCTGATGCAGCTGGAGACTAAAGTAGCAGGAAAAACATTGCATTTCATGTGTTTTGAAGCTCTCTCAATATATATTTATTTCAAGAAACGCAAATGCAGCCAACTTTTGGTACTGTGAGGTTTTGTAGGCAACTTGATATTTCAGGGGTCACTTACTTTGAAGCGATATATATTCGTGTTATTTTATGCTAGACTGAATAATACCTACATGAAAAGGAGAGGCTTAAAACGTATAAACTGAATAGATATCCAACAATTATATTAATGGCAGACTAACGCTGCAGTTTGTCTTTCACATAAAGGTATATAAAGCATAGCACCCTCAAGCTTTTGAAGTTCAAAATTTAAATTTGAAACTTGTGTTCAGAGTCCAGATAACCAATAATGCATCTCGAGACAATCTAATAGTGAACTAATTAAACGGTGATTAGCCAGTATTTAATCACTGTTTTCAAATGACAATCTCTTCGTATTACAACTTCTCTTAAATTTCTAGCTGTATCCCGTTCTTACTCCGAACCAAAAACTTGGCAAATCCATTTCGGTTCTTCTCTAAACTGCCATGTTTTGATGACACAATTGATGAGGATGGTGGTGTGTTCCCATCCTTATTTATTGATTGACCATGACAGGCAGCACTAGCTCTTGGAGACTCTGGATCTCTTTTGCGATAATACGTTTCATTAGAATGTACCTTCCATGGTTCTCCGCCACCGTCTTTGGGGATCAACGAGAACTCTGGTATGCTCGTGGTGTCGATTAAGAAGTCTTCAAGTGTTGCAAGAGATTTCAGTTGCTGACCTAAAGATGCTATTGTTTTTTGACACTCAGCAAGTTTCCCAGCTGCTACGACCAAATCCTCCTGCCATGGGTTCTCATGATAATTAGAAAGATGGAACATAACATAATTGAACTATAGAGGTGTTAAGATGGTGTAAATTGATGAACGGAAAAGTTACCTGTTTTATCTTTGGTTCAAAGTTCGAGTTCACAGTTTGCTGGAGCTCAGCTTCCTGCTGCTTTCTTGACAGCTCTTCTTCCAATTCTTGACATTTGACTGCAATTTGTGATGACAATGCCCTTTCCTTTTCAACTTCTGTTTCCAATGAATCAATCTTCGCAAACATCATTCGAGCCTCTTCTTCGATGCTAATGAGTTGAGACTCAAGAAGTTGCTTTGATTCATTTGCGTTTACTAAAACCTGCTCTGACAAGTTCCTTTCTTTTTCAATTTCTGCTTCTAATGAGCCAATCTTTGTGGACATTGTCTCCGCATCTATTTCCAATGTACTTAGTTGAGACTCGAGATGTTGCTTAGCTTCATTTGTCATACAAAGCTCCTCTTGCAACTCTGCCAGTTCCGTTTCTAACAAATCGATCTTTGCAGACATAATCTGAGCGTCTGCTTTAATGCTAATGAGTTGAGACTCAAGAAGTTGCTTTGTCTCATTTGCGTTAACTGAAACTTGCTGCGACAAGGTCCTTTCCTTTTCAATTTCAGCTTCTAATGAGTCAATCTTTGCAGACATTGTCTCTGCATCTGTTTCCAATGTACTGAGTTGAGATTCGAGATGTTGCTTAGCTTCATCTTTGGAACAAAGCTCTATTCGCAACTCTGACAATTCCACTTCTAACAAATGGATCTTTGCAGACATCATTTGTGCCTCTGCTTTGCTGTTGATGAGTTGAGATTCAAGAAGTTGCTTTGATTCATTGGTGTTAACTGAAACTTGATCTGACAAGGTCCTTTCCTTTTCAATTTCTGCTTCTAATGAGTCAATCCTAGCGGACATTGTCTTTGCATCTGTTTCCAAGGTACCGAGTTGTGACTCGAGATGGTGCTTAGCTTCATGTGTTGTACAAAGCTCTGTTCTCAACTCCGACAGTTTCTTTTCCGTGACCCTCAACTGAAGTTCCGATGCTTCAAGACTTTCTTGACTTTTGGCAAGAGCTATTTCTAGTTCAACCTTCTCAACTTCCAACTTTTCTAACTTCTCTTCAAGTTCTAAAGTTCGATGAATCATAGTTTCAAGTTCTTCCTTCAACAAGTTATCACCATCAATTGATTGTTTCACAGTAGCTTTTGATTCAAGACATTGATTTTCGCTCTTGGTTTCAGGCAATGTAGCAAGTCGCTCCATCTCGAGAAAATCATCCATTAGATCAACCTCAACAGAAGAACTGGGGACATTTCTATTGATGATCTTTTCATTTTTGAATTGATCAAGTTCAGCAATTAAGGCTGAGGCCCATGTTTCTGATTCATCATCCTTAAGGGATTCAACAAAAGGGGAGGCAGATGCCGCTTTTTTGGTATTAACAGAGCATGATTGACAACCTCTGGCTTTAAGTCTTCGACATTCGGCCTCAAGCATTGCTACCTTCTTCACGCTGTCCAAGTGTTGTTTGCTCGCTGTTTCGGCCGCTTGGGTGCTTATATCTCTTTCAATTGTTCTGAATTCCATCTCCTCCAAATACAAAGAGAGCTCAAGCTTGAGGGTTGAATTTTCCTTTTCCAAAGCTTCAATCTTATGCCGAAGGTCAGGACTGAAGTTAACAGATTCGGGTTTATTTTCGAACTCAAGCAACCGGCTCTCGAGTTCAAATTTGGTAGTTTCCCAATCCCGAGTAGTCTTTGCCACGGCTTCAACAATCTTCTGCTCTTGCTCCTCTCTTGCCTGTCTTAGCTGCTTGACACATTCCTTGAGAGCTCCATCAAGATGGCTCACCCGATCTTCGAGTGTCAAGTTTTGCTGAACCGCATCCTCAAGTTTTTGCTTCAATACAACTACTTCATTTTCGGCCTTCTCCCAACCTGAAGTTCATTAGAGAGAATTAACTAGAATTTAGCGAGTAGATTATTACTAAGAAAACAGAGATGTTTTGTGACATGTAAGTAATACCAGCAATGGCTTCTTCAGCAACTTGGGAATGTTGCTTAACCAAGTCCTCTTTGGCACTAACATTAGCCAAAGCGGCTGATAGTTTCTCTGTCAAGCTCTTAATGTCATCCTTAACATCTTTGGAATCAGCTGAAGCTTTTGACGACGCGTCGGATGATTGTGTGTTATTATCAGGAGATGCCTTGATAGTCTCCTGCTTCAACAACTAAAGAGATGCAAATCAATCTAGATTTGGAAAACCAATCCAACTCTCAATCAAACGACAAGCTTAATAGAAAACTCCAGCAGAATTCCAGATACATTTATTATTCTAAGAGTACAAGTTGTCTTTGCTAGTAAAGCTTCCATGAACAAGAAGAGCAAAGCAGCTCAGACTCTAATCCGAGAACAAAAACACGGAAATTTACAGTCTTCACGATATGCTTTCAATCAACATGTAGCAAGATAGATCAGAGGAAACAAACAAAGATTAACACTCAATTCCACACCTAAAGAAAAAGAAACATTCAAGCTTTTGAAAGTGGATACTTAAAGATGGTCATAATTAAGGAGTAGGCTATCCATCCACCAACCTGATCATCGGAATGCGAAGATATTGATCGGAAACTCTGAGATTCACCATCACTCGTCTCAGACGACTTACTATTCCCCAACCAGTCGCGGTTTTCCATGGCTAATTCAATAGTCCGGTACTGATCAGCACATCAGAAACTTTCCATCTGCACCAAAATAAAAAGCAAAACTTTGTTCAAGATGTCACCATATACCCACCAAAGCATTAACAAAACTATCACTAAAACAATATGAGCAATCCCCCTTAAAAGCATCACTTTCAACAATCTAAACATCAAAAGAAGAAATAACATTATTTATCATTTACTCAGCTTTGCCACAAATCTAACCATCTACTGTCAACCCCAACAACAACAGATAACACTTTGAAAGCACCAAAAATGTTTTATGTTCTAGCAAAAGGAAAATTGTTCTAAAAATTCTTTGGCAAAAGAAAATGTAAGAATATGGAAGCTTTATAAAATTAGAACTACCCATCTCATTCTTCAAATATTTCAAGCAATCCTCATTAAGATCACAATCAATGCTAAAAGTATCTGAAAAAAGATATCCAGAAAACTAAAAACTCAAACCTGAGGTAGCCATGATAGTTAAAGAGCTCCAAAGCCAATTCTTTAAATTTCAGCACAAACCAAGTAAAACCCAGATATTAAAGCGATTTAAGATATCAAGTAAAAACAGTTTTAAATACCTTTGAAATGATATTGAAGCAACTTGAAGGAGTCAAAGCAGCTGCGCTGACCAAATACCTTTTGAAGAAATAATCTTAAACCAGAAAACCACCATAACAGAAATAAAAAAGCAAAATTTGGGTTCAGATTTTAAACCTAAGTTTTAAAAGGGGGGAGGCATTAAAGTAAACGCTGCAGGAGAAGAACTGAGAATGTCAGTAAACAGTCAGCTAAAGAAAAACACTTCAAGAACAAGTTTTCGGATAATGCGGGCTTCTATTTTTTGGCCTTTACTTTTCTTTTTTATTCATTTTTTCCTAAAAGAATTAAGAAAAAAAACCCAGATGACAGCATGTGATTCGTAATGAGTTGGAAGCTTCAAATTAAAAAACCAACCTTTTTCAGCTTTTCATTGCTCTAGAAAAGAATCTTTAGTTGCATTTGTCTCTTCTTTTAAGTGTAGTTTCTGAAATGGAGCTGGCCTTATTCCACCCCGAAGGGAATTGGATATGGGGAAGTGGGAGGCTTGTAATGCAAATTTTCATTGTTTAATTTCTTTACAGGGGTCTTGAAAAAACACAGCTGCATTTGCAGAAGAAGAATATTCAGCAAAGCTATTTTTCCCCATCTATGTATGTGTATCTAGAATATGAGTAATCTGTTTCTTAGCCTTTGCTTTTAAAACTGCTGCTTCTTTTAACAGTAGTGGAAGGAAGGCATCCAATGACATAGCGTCACTGCCCCTGCAAAGTTACTGATTAAGTTTTCTGGTTTCTCGAGATGCGTGCCATTTCATTTCATCATGTGGTGGCGCTGATTTTTTTCTTTTTCCCAATGGTGGCGGTGCCATTGGATGTTGTTTTTCCTACCGACATTTTCTGTATTTTTTTAATAATTTTTTATCAATTTAAGATTTAGAAAAATATTATATTTATAATAAATTTAAATTAATAATGTTGTTCCAATAAAATTTCTTGGATAATGCGGTAAGAAAAACGTTTGGCTCATTTCAGGTGCTAGAGAAATTATGTACTCAACTAAAATGGAATGAACAGTGTAAAAAAATGGACAGACCATCTAATGACTTCTTGATGTCGGAAGAAATATATGATATCTTTTGTATCATATCTAGATTGGATTATAGTAACATGAGGCACGTAACGTTGAGTTGGGAAAGATATTATATATTTAATGCGTCTTTCAAAAAATATCAAATGATTTAGATGATTTTTTCTTATACTATTTATTTCACTCTAATTAAGAAATATTTTTCGAACACTCACGTAAACTATTCTTTTTCCAAATCATTACCCTAATAATTTTATTATGTTGTTCCTTCTAATTATACAATTTAACATTTAAATTTATTAATTTCATTAATCTTGCTCATTGAGCAATAAAAGTTGTTTAATTGTTGTAGTGTTGACATGTTAGTTATTTATATTTAATATATGAATGATAACTGTATTAAAAACTGCAAAAATACTATTAGAATTTAAAAATAAATAAAATTATAAAATATTAGAAATTATGAAATAATAAATAATAAAATATAAATATTAACATTGGAGAAGTGGAGGATCAAAATTAAACAATTTGATAAAATACTTCTGATTTTATATTTTTTTTCTAATAAGATAAGGGGGGACTTGTGATATTTATACTTCATATTTTGTTTTTGGACTTCGAGAGTTTGAGTATAACTTTGGTCGTTAATTGAATTAGTTTTATACGTCACCTCGGTGATAAATAAATTATTATGATTTTTTGAAGTTCTGAATTTGAGTACTAGAAATGTTAAATGTACAAACGTTCAATGTCAAAAAATTGTATTTACCTCATATTAATAAAAAAACTTGTAAATAGTAATAGTTTTTAAATGTATGAAAACTAAAAAGGAAGTGAATGAATATATTCTAAAATTTAGAAATATTCAAAGTAATCAATTAGACTAAAATTACCTTTTTAGAATGTTTTTTAATAGTATGAAATGATTACAAAATAATATTTGTTCACAATTTTCTTAAGTAATTGATAATGTACACAATAGTTGATCTATAATTACCTAAGGGTAGGTACGTGCCCACTCTGGAATACGAATTTTATTTGGTTAGTTATCTATTTTCCTAATAATGTTCACCTTTAAATTTTATTTGTACACACTACATTCAAAAGTTGTGTTATTAATATATGTGTGTTCACCTTAAAAATATTTCTGGACGCACACTCACATGCACCTATTCGAACTCAAGGTCTCTAAGAAATATAATATTTTTTTAATCTATGAGACCACTTAATGAATACTTTTTTTAATATAAGTGATTTTATAATGAATGATTAAATATTTAAGTGAATTATATGTGTGCTTGAGTCTGGTATATGTTAAGAAAATTAAGTTGAGAGGTTAAAATTAAAGTTTAAATTGATTTATTTGTATGGACAAATGTTAAAGCATAATTGACATAAATTAAACTTATTAATAACGTAAAATGCTTGAAATGACAGTGAAATCTGAAAAGAAAAAAGTAAAATATTATATGGATTATAATTATAAAGTCTGAATTTTGATATATATATATATATAATTAAGCTAAAGTGATTACAAAGTAATATCTATTTTAAATAATATCAACAATTTAGAAATGAATACATAATCACTCTTGAAGTCTCTAGTTGTAACATCCCAAAATAAGAACTAGTGACTTAAATGTAAGTTTTGGAAATTTGAAGTCTAATTTCTAATGATTGGAAAGTTAGAGAATTTATTTGGAATATTTTGAGGACTATTGGGTAAATATGTAAGGAGGTAAGGGTAAATATGTAAGGAGGTAAGGGTAAATTGGTCTTTACAAAGAAAGATTTTTATTATCTCTTTATATAAGAGATAACCACGTGTATAAGGGGAAAGAAAAGTTTAGAGAGATGGGGTTCAGTTTCTTCTTCTTCTGTGTCTTCATGTATAAGGTGAGTTGGATTTAATTTGCTTGTTTCTTCAATTTTATGGTTTCTTTTGATTAATGAGAGATAAGAAAGAGTAAATGAAGATGTATGGTGAGTTAAAACTCCAAAATGAACAAGTTATAAGAGATTAAGAAAAATGAGTTTTTAAGTGAATTATTGAAATAGTAGGAGTTAATAGATTTTGAAGTGAAATTTGACTTATCAAAGGTCTAATTAAAAAGTTAGAAGCAATAGAAGCGGAGTTAAAACATGTTGAAAATTGAGTTTAATTCTTGAATTTCATTTGGAAGATAGAATTTTGAGTTTAAAGAAGTGATTATGGAGTAGAAATGAGTTTAAGTATGTATATGAGAATTAAGAATATGGTAGAAGATGAAATATGAAGTGTTTAAGTAGAATTGGAGAGATTTTCGTGCTAAAATGACATTTCTGGGCTATGTGCATCGATGCACATTCAATGTGTACTGATGCATCAAGGGTATTTCCAGAAATTGTTTAGTGTGTATCGATGAACAGGAAGTGCATCGATGCACCCATTAAAAATGGAAACATCGAATGCAATTAGTGCATAGATGCACAGGAAATGCATCGATGCACCCATTAAAAATGGAAACATCAAATGCAATTAGTGCATCGATGCATAAGGAGTGCATCCCCGATTAAAATAAAACATCGAAGGTGATCTGTGTATCGATACATGGTTAGTGTATCGATGCACATGTTAAGGGATGCATCGATACACTGTAGAATGTACCGATGCACTTCAAGGGAAAATAAATTAGACCTTTCTTTTGGTCTAACAAATGATAGATTATGATATATCAATTGGATACTGATATGTATCAATGTATGATTATATAGATATCGAGCACAAACAAGTTCCGGAACGATTATCAAGTTAAGATTCGATCGAAAGAAATGGATCATAAAATGGGATTGGAACTTAGTAAGGCCAAGGTGAGTGCACATTATTTAGTATATGATGTTTAATGGGAAATAAGACTTGCGAAAAGTATATTTCCAATAGTAAAATGCAGGAATTCTTAGATAGAAGTATATATTTGTTATGGTCATATGTGTGCATGAGTCGATGTGGTGACATGTTATTGTATATGTTGCATGATTTGTGAAAATACATGTTAGTGTGAGAAGTTATATGAAATAAGAGGTATGATAAGGGCATAAGAAATGTTATGAACATGTGACATACGCTATGAGCTAAAGAATTATATAATACATGTACACATAAGGTAACCTAAGGGTAAGCGATATAATATGATATAAGTGATTACACAAGAAAGGTTATGAGTCCTATGTGATATATGAATATAAAATCTTATGAAAAGTGATATGAATTACGTGAAAAATAAGCTATATGATTACAAGGATATGTGAAATGAATCATATGTTTATATGAAAATGAGAAATGATATGAGCACATGTATATGTGATTATGAATGACAGGAATAAGAGAAAAGGTATATGTGATCATATGAAATGTGATAAGAAGCTATGTGCCTATGTGATAAGATTATGTGAAATGATATAGTGCTAATGCCCATGTTATGTGATATGAGAGCTAGGGGTATAGTTGACATGCCAAGAGTCTAGGGTTTACCTATGTTCTACGGAACATATGGACAAAATTACCTATGTCTTTCGGGACATATGGACAGTATACCTATGTTCTAAGGAACATATGAACATTTTACCTAGGTTATTCAGGACCTATGAACAGTGGTTGAGGTTCTTTATGACCTCTGGATAGGTCATTCGGGACATTTATACGAGTTGTGGTGACAGGAT